CAGAATTCCCCAGCCAGAATTCTGGAATTCTGGGAGTTGAAGTCCACTCATCTTAAAGTGGCCAAGTTTGGACAACACTGTCCTATGGTCCACCCCTTTTGCTGGCTTCACACAATACACCAAGCAGCAGTGTGGTACATCTGAGGCTTAGCATTGTGCTTTAACTCAGACGATTGTGGTTTATTCAACTTATTATGGTTAGAAAAGTCATTGCTTAAAGTGATATGTAAACATCTGTGTGGTTTTATTCCTCTTTTAGTTATTATTTTCTTGCATGTGCTATCAGCAGCTGCCCCATATCCCCAATTAAATCCCTGCCCTATTGGGCTCATATACTGTATTGTTAATTCCTCATAGGGGCATCCTGTGTTCATGAGCACAATTGTTTTCTTGGAGTTTTTTCTTCTGATTTTGGCAAAGATGAACAACCTTAGATATCCTGGCCATAGGTTCTGCTTCCCTGAGAGGACCCCCATTGCAAGGAGGCTGCTGCAACTCAAGGCTTGGCAATATTCTTGTGGCCGAGGGTCACACTTTCAAATCTGTGTTTTAGCTTTGCTTTTTGCATTCAGGGACTACATGGGATGTTACTAGTTACACCATAACATGGCCAGGCCAAACATAGTCAAACCTTTGGCCCATTTTTTTTTTACTTTGGGGAAGCATTTCAGGCAGGGTTAGGGAACAAAATCGGTGCCTTGAACTGAAGGTACCTCTAGTGCCTCCTAAAACTAGGCTTTAGATTCTAGGAGTTGAAGTCCACACATTGCCAAGATTGAGAAACACTGTCCTAAAGGTATTCCAAATGGGCATATTTGGGTTGTTTTTTGAGGAGCAACCTTAAGCCTCCGAGGTTCCCATTTTCACCAAACACCCCTGATCTCCCCGCAAATGATTTAATTTGCTGATCCACCTACTCTGCAGATGCACTAGACCTGCAACAGCAGTGACGTAGGGCCACATGCAGCATGTGGGTGCACCTACCAGCTCTTTTCCAAATCTTCCAGTCTTTGGATTGGAGGACACATGGGATTTTAAAACCGTGTCATACCATTATCCCTAAATGACTATGATGGGGAGGGGAGCTTACTCATTCATGAAATAGCTGTTTTCTTGGGTTTGGCCAGTCATAAAATACTCTTTTCCCATCAGGCAAACTGGTGATGTTGCCCACCATCCTGCCTCCCTCCCCACCCACTAACCTTTTTTCTACACGGGTGAGCATGGTTCCAAACAAAGCATTGCGTACCATATTAATTTCAAAGGATTCTTTCTCCAGATGAGTTAAACCAGACTATCCAAAAATTTGCTGGCCCCAACTTGCAGTCCTTATCTTGTCACCGTAATAAGACTGGCCAATGTTATTATATTGCACCATAGATATTTATAATGTTTTATTTATTTATTTTATTCAATTTACATGGCTGCCCATCTCAGACAAGTGACTCTGGGTGGCTACCAACAGTACAAAACCAACAGGAAACTCCAAAAAGTACAAAATAAATAGACAAAGGGCAGCTATGTAAAAAACAACAACAGAAAGAACCATCTATACAACCATTTGACAGGCTCCAGCTGGCACTCTGACCCTCATGTCTAGGAACACAGCCACGTCTTCAGGACCTTGTGAAAAAAAAGCCAATAGGGTCAGAGTTAATTTGATCTCGCTGCCATGAATTTGGAGCGCATATAAGGCCGGAGTTGGTAGACTCTTCTACCTTTGTTTCAGTGAATTTTGACAGATGTCTAGGCTAATTTAGCCATCTGCTACAACTCCCTCTGGTTTTGAGCAAGTGTTTCCATGGGTACTTTAAAATGGAAATTGATTATTAGCTGATAGTTGGACTTAGTTTCGACAAGAGTTTAGTGCTATTCCACAACAATATTCAAAAATAGTTTGATACTGGTTTAGTGTTATGCTAGAAGCATATTCTGCTTTTTGAATATTTTTCAAAAGGAAAGATAATGTTGGGGGCTGGCGCTTTATTTTGCAACATACCAATTTCCCATGTTTTACTTATTTTTAACTAAGACCTTATATATATACAGTAATACCTCGGTTCATGAACGCTTCTGTTCATGAACAATTCGGTTCATGAACAGCAGCGTTCGCAAAAGTTTGCTTCCGTTCGCAAACTCAGCATCGGGTGATGAACACGACCCGCAGCCATCTTCCCTGCTCTGACACGTGGTCGTGGCTTCCTCTAGGTGAGATCGCCTGTACTTTGTTCCATATTTTTGTGGTTA